CAGCTGAATTAGCTGATTAACTTTTTGCATCAAGTTACTATTAAAAAACTTTTTGCACTATCTATGAGCTTGTTTCGGTCACTTGTGCAGGACTTTCTAATTTTTTTATTCTCAGTTGCCGTCATTAATATGCAAATAGCGATAAATGTGAATATTACTTTCGCAAATAGTGCCCAGTATATATCCTGTAGTAATGCACGTTATTTAACGTATTTTAGTGTTGTTCACCAAGTTTGTATTCAATGAAATATTAATCACATGACAACAACTATCGAATATACTTGTTTTTTTCTTAATTATAATTTATGCAAGTTCTATAAATAGCGTGCACTCCAAATTTGACTCGACGCCCTTTACTTATCGGTAGCATCCGTCATTACTTTTAAACTCTATTATGCACAAGAAGTTTGCTGGTGAATCATCAAGTTTAATTTACCTCAAAAAATTATTACGCATTAACCTGTCCCGTGCCCGTGCGTACTATTAAATGCAAAAACTAGGCTAATGTATGATTGCACTAACATGACATTACGCATTAAGTTTTGTTATTAATTTCTGTGTTATCATGCAACTTTCAAAGTTTCCATTGCAGTATTTTATTTGTCAATAATTGCAGTAATTTATGTTATTCGCAAAACGGTTATAGTGCGCACTATTTGCCGTCTGTTCCGGATCATACCACTGGGCCCCTTCAGTGCATATTGCCAACCGGGTCCTTTTCCTTAAATCCGCCACTGGTCCATCAAAAAGTATTTTTTATCAAATTTGCTCACAGCTTAAGCGCGCGCGAAGTTTTTCCTACATCAAGCTGACCGCATAGGCAGCGCTATCATCTATGAGCTCAGAGTTAAATCAAAGTTGACGATGAGTGATACAGTTTTTCGTGATGTAGATGTCATATGACTTAAAAAAAGATAACATCTCATTTTAGAAATTTTTTGCGATTACAATACTTCCTCGCCAATGACGTGGGAAGTAAAACGGCTTTAAAATCGAGGAGTATCAGCGATCGCGATTATGAGTACCTATTTGCAGAACGACTTATCTACGCGATATTATATGAAATAGGGCCACCAAATTATCTGAATACGTCCTTTCTAAGTCCGTACATTGCGCCGCAACGCTTGGTTTGGCAGTACGAAACAGCAGACAAAGTTCGTCCAAAATACGATTTGTAGAGGTTTGCGCGCTTCGAAATTGACGCTCTAATTTCTGATATTTTTGGATTAAATTTTCACAAAGTGCTGAAAACAAAACCCCACAGGGTACTATAGAGTCACTTTTTCATTTTTTTCATTAGGTTCTTTTCAAAAAAATCGCGAAGTTGAACAGAAAAAGTGCGCACTTCAACCCATCATAAACCTTGTGCAAAAACAAAATTCAAAAAGTGCTCCTACAGCACCCTGGGCAATTATCTTCTCAACATACTATATGAATTTCATTCAAAAATATTGAAAAATGGAGTGTCAGTTTCGAAGCAGCTGAACCCTTGTAAATGGCCTGAAACTCACTGCGTCGGAGCCGCCTTAAGTGGCCGTAGCTGCTTTCAGCGATGACTTTTCAGGTGGCACGTCATTTTACCGCTTGCGTACATATTCGTCTTTGCCACTGATAATAGAAGCGCAGGCGTACATATTCGTCAAAGTCACGTGAATTGGGTTACTTTAAATGAAATGCGTACATGTACGAAAAGCCACCATGGTTAGTACCTATTGTTTTTAAACAAGTAATGTACATAAAATTACTTGAAACTTATTTATTTAAAAACAAAATACAGCCGACTACTACTACTATTTAGTAGAAAAAATTATTCTTTCGTATGTTACCTGTATATCCCAAAACAAGGTGCAGGACAGAGACCAGTACGACACTCTAGGCACCAATAACGACTCTCTTTTCGCTGCTTTCTTTCAGCACATACAACGCATCCGAAGTAAAGAAAAACGCAATAAGATAAACGTAGAGTGATAAGTTTTTGACTTTTTGTCGGTTTTGCTTCTGTTGTTGGTGGTATTATTGATCGAAAATGTCAATCAATCTTGTGGGCATTGGCGTTCTAGACGTTCTATTTTTCTGTATTTATCCCTATCTTCTCACCCAGCTCCAGTAAAAAGTTCAGTCTTTTTAGCTTTCCGCCATTCTTCTAACAAATTTGAAAGGCATTCAACGTAGTGACACTTAAAAAATGGAGAAACATCTTCATGCAGTATTTTTTAACTCTAGTACGAGCAATTCCATAAAAGTGGAGGTAATTGTCAGATAAATCAACACCACCCCTGCTGGCATTGTTATCGATTACGCAAGATGGCTTTTCAATGTCCCCACTCCTTGCTGCAATTTTCTTCATGCTGTCATTGTGGACTGTGCTTATCATAAGGACGTCTCTCTTGTCGCCCTATTTCTGAATCATGAGTTTTTTCTAAAACGCGCTACAATTTCTCCTCTCTGCAATTTTACTTTTAATTCCCGTGGTATTCCTTTTCTATTTATTCTCATTGTGCCAACGCTATCCGTCCTTCTTTTTACTAGTTTGTCGCACAGGTCTATGCTTGTATAAGAATTATCTAAAAACAGGCGGTATCCCTTATCTAAAAGAGGATGAATCAATGTCAACACTACCCTCGAAGTAAGTGGTTCATTTATTTACAAAGCATTGTATTCAGTATCTGTAAGTTGTACATGTAATCATTGCGACTTTCACATAAGGCAAAAACTTTCATGCCAAATCGTTTCCTTTTCGAGGTACAGGTATGTACTGTTTCCAAGCAAGTCTGCCTTTCCATCCTGTCAAGGACTCATCTATGGCAATGTTTTGTTCTGTATATAAGCTGACATATACTTTTTTTTTCATCAAATCCAAAACTGGTAAAACTTTTATCAGTTTTGAGGTTTTTGTATGTGAATTTATAGTAGAATTATCTACAAAGTTTAAAAACTTTAGCAACAAATGAAATCATAACTTTAGAGAAAAAAGGAGTCTCGATGCTCTCTCGTCGTGAAAAGTTATTTTGTACTGAGGCTTAGGACAGATGCTCTGTAGTATTAGCAACTCGATAAGGGTCCTAATTTCATTACTATCAAACCATTTTTTAGCTCGGGAATTTGGCTTGAGGTTATCTCGATTCGAAGAAATACGAGGGATGTCTTTTAAGTTTTGCATATAGAAACATAGTACGCCGCGCGGATCGAACATCAGTACTGAATCTTAACCTCACTCTTTAGTAAACTTAAATTCAAAGTTTCACAACAATACGTGCAATATTCTTACTACAGCGAATTTTTAAGTGTCACCAAGTCATTAGCAAAATGGAACTCAACCGAGAACATTTTTGCGCCATAATTTATTACAACTTTCAGAGACAATTATCGCAAAAGAATGCCTTGCTGAGTTACTGTCTGTTTTAGGCAACGAAGCACCATATCAGTCGACAATTTCCCGTTGATATGGAGAATTCAAACGTGGACGGGTGAGTCTTAGCGACGATCCCAGGGTGGCAGTCACCCAGGAAAACGTCGATGCTGTGCGCAAACTCATCATTGAAGATAGACATGTGACATATCGCGAGATTGAGGCGTCCCTAAAGATCTCAAAGACCTCAATTCAAAAAATTTTACACGAAGAATTAGGAGTAAGAAAATTAGTTTCTCGTTGGATACCCCACCTGTTGACTGAAGAGCAGAAAGCAGCCAGGGTTAATTGGTGTGAAAAAACGCTTGACCGTTTCAATTCCGTAAACCCAAAAAATGTGTACAGCATTGTTAGGGTGATGAATCGTGGATTTACTGTTATGAACCAGAAAATAAACGACAGTCGGCTGTTTGGGTGTTCCAAGGTGAATAAAAGCTAACAAAAGTCGTCCGTTCTCGAAAGTGTTTCGAAAAAGATGGTCGCGACATTTGTGTCAAATGCGGGTCATATTGCAACAATTCCTCTTAATGAGCAAAGAACTGTTACTGCGGATTGGTATACCACCATTTGTTTTCCAAAAGTCATCACCGAGCTACAAAAAATCAACCCCGAAAGAAGAATCATCCTCCACCAAGATAATGCAAGCTCGCACACAGTCCAAAAAACAAGGCAGTATTTAACGGAAGAAAACGTGGAATTATTGGACCATCCTCCATATAGTCCCGATCTAAGTCCTAACGATTTCTTTACTTTCCCGAAAATTAAAAACAGAATGCGTGGTTAAAGATTCCAGTCACCAGAAGAAGCAGTTGACGCATTCAAAAATGCCGTTTTGGATCTGCCAGCAAACGAGTGGAATAAGTGCTTCGAAAATTGGTTCGAGCGCATGCAGATGTGTATTAATCTTCTTGGAGAATACTTCGAAAAACAATAAAGTCATTTAAAACTACCTACCGTCTTGTTTTATTTCCATATGCAAAACTTAAAAGACATCCCTCGTATACTGCGATGCATATCTGTTTGTTTCTCTGATTATTATATCTATTAGATCATCATCTAAAAAATATTCAAAAATTCGCATTATATCCTTTAAATTGTTTACTTGCACACCACTGTTTGACGTAAAATGGAACGCTGGCCTTGGAATCCCGTTCTCTGTCCAGGGAATTTCAAAACTTGGATCATGATCAGGTTCTTGTTGACTTTCGGTATCACTCTCTTCAAAATCCTCGTTGAAATTAGAATCGTCATCTGATTCGTCAGAACTAGTGCACTGACTCTCATCATCACTGGAATCATCTGTAGTCATTTCAACATCAGAACTAGCCATTATCAAAAGTACTTTTAACGTTTGAACACAAACAAGCAGGAAACAGCCGGTATATAAAACCACGCAATAATGACTGCTACCTTACACCGAAATCAAATGGCGGCAGACAGCAACTTTTGGTGTTTCCGGTATCACAAACACAAGTAATAATTGTTATTTCTTATAATATGTACGGTGGAATCATCACAGGCGAACGTATTCGTGATAGCCATGCACGGCCTCAATAAAATATTCTTGGCGTATATATCCGTCATAATCAACATGGATAAAAAATATGTTGGCGAATATATAGTCATTACCACTTCAGGGGTTAAGATAGATCATGACCTGAAATTTTTAGGCAGAAGATGTAACAGTGCAACTGCCAGTTGGTACGGTAAAGGGATTAGTAAAGTCTACCGCTAAAGGGGTAATATTCTACTCTTTCCAAGGAATACCGTATGCTGAGAAACCAGTCGGCGATTTGAGATTCCAGGTAAGCTCAGTATGAACCTTTATTTTCGATCGGTCAATCTTATACAGCGCTGTTCAAAAAGGTCACCACTTCCGAATTATTTTTGGACGGGCCAGGTCAGCAAGCTGAAATGCAGGGTTATATTATATTTTAGCATAAATGTTCTAAAATGACTGAGTGCGCCATTACAGAACATTTTCTCTAAGTGGAATGAGAGGTCGTGTTGTGCCTAACTTTAAAGCTCCTTATAAGTAATTTGTAGACCTAGGATATAAAATAACTATCTTTTAAAATGGCGGACTGGCTTGCTGCCAAAGCTTGTCGTTTTTGTTGCGTTGCTCAGCAATTTTTCACACACTCAAGAACAGCATAATCCTACAGTGCATTTCAAAAATGTCCCCCACTTCTTTTTAGAACAAATCAAGCTAGAAAGCTGAAATTGCGGTCGATGAAATTCAAGCATGAATACTATGTTTTAGCGTCAAAGTGGAAGTTCCAGAATATAAAAACACTATCTTCCAAATTTGGCACTTTTCAAAGTTGAGCGTTTTTATATACTAAGAGACATATAAATCCGAACAGCCAGTTTAAATGGTTTTATTTTAATTTAATTTTATAAAAAGTGTTGAATGTATTTATCTTACTGTAAATAAAAAGTGAAAAAATTTTCAGCCTTATCAGTTGGACATTCCGGTTTTTATACTGCTTTTTTTTAATTCACTAACGCTCTAAAAATGAATATTTCAGCCGCAGTAAAGAATCAACGTTGGCGGATTTTGGTTCTTGACATCCTTTACGATCGGTTACGATGCCTAGAGTGCGGAGACCTGTACGATTTCGTCAACTTAGTGAGTTTGATAGGGGCCGTATAGTGGGACTTCGGGAAGCTGGACTTTCTTTTCGGGCAATTGCAGTTACAGTGCAAAGACGTGTAGACACTGTGGTTAGGTGTTGTCGGGCATGGCTTCGAGAAGGCCGTACGCAAAGAGCAAGGGGCACTGGACGCCGCCGTAGAACAACAGACCGTGAAGATCGCCGCCTAAGATTATTGGCCTTGAGGGTCCGTTTCTCCACTACCAGGTCCATTGCAAATGAATGGTTTGCAGAACACGGAAGACCTATTGGCATGCGAAGTGTTTACCGACGAATGAGAAGTTTTGGCTTGTTTTCATACCGGCCACACTGGGTCCTCCCTTTAACTCGAGAACACCGACGTAATCGCCTTGAGTGGTGCAGACAACGGTCACTCTGGGATCAGGAATGGAACAGTATTGTCTTTAGTGACGAGTCTCGATTTTGTTTAGGCATGCACGATGGTCGTGCCAGGGTTAGAAGGCGACGTGGTGAAAGGAGGAATCCACAGTTTTTTGTTGAAAGATGTTCATCACACTGTTGGAGTTATGGTTTGGGGTGCTATAGCTTATGGTTCCAGGTCACCTTTAATCTTCATCAGAGGTAACATGAATGCGCAGCGTTATATCCACGAAGTTCTAGAACCTTATCTTGACACCCTGGCAGATCCAACTTTCCAACAAGATAATGCCCGACCACATGTTGCAAGAGTCACAATAGACTTTCAACATAATGATGTCACATTGTTACCATCGCCACCAAGATCTCCCGACTTATCCCCAATTGAGCACGTGTGGGATATGATGGGTAGTAGATTGCTCAATTTGCAACGTCCTCCTCAGACTCTAGAAGCACTTCGAGAGGAGTTAGTGGTTGCCTGGAATGAGATACCACAGGAGGACATTGACCACCTGATCAGAAGCATGCCTAGGCGCGTTGGAGAATGCGTAGCACATCAGGGTGCGTCCACACATTATTAAAGGTCAAAGGGCTTTAAAGCAGTGCAATCATTTTGAAATTTTTATCATTTACTTATTATGCTTCATTAAGTACTTATACAAAATTTTATTAAAATAAAACCATTTAAACTGGGTGTTCGGATTTATATGTCACTTAGTATACATTGAATCGCTTATAGCTCAACAAATAATCGTCAAAACTTCATAGTATGTTATATCAATAATTTCCTTTTGTAAGGGTCTCTCTAAATGAGCAATAAAATATTCTGATTAATACAAATGGCCGATTTTACACTTTTTTAATAGAATGTTTCATATTTTATTACATATTTCAGTAGACGCCTCCAAGAGAAGAAGAGATTGATATAAAAAACTACGCTCGTTTTGACATCATGCCGATTCGCTTTTGGGGATGGTGGTTTTATATTCAAGGATTGACTTTTATTACTTTCATGCTAAAATATAATATCCATACATTAATCTATCCATCCTTCTAATTTGGTCCGTTCAAGAGATAAATAATATATAAAAAATCGTCTTTATTTAGGGGGTGAAGTTTAGCATAATGCTACTCTGCCACTTAACTCCTTAATTAGAGGGTTTCCTTTTTGAAAAGCACTGTAAGAAAGCTCAAAAATGAGTGACGTTGCTACGTGGAGCTTTTTTGATTCGCCTTTATGCACATCTGGTTTTTAGGCACCAGTCCCAAAGAAGAAATGGGAAGGAATCTGGGATGCGACGAAATTCGGCAACATATGCAATCAGATGAGTTATACGCCTCCCAATCAAAGTGAAGATTGCTTATTTGTGAATAATGTCTATACACCCAAGCCTGGATAAGACCTATTATGTAACCATCGAAGAAAGACCAAACCAAAACATATTCACGTATACTCCACGTGATCGCGCTCCAGAACGCCGAGCACGTTATAGGGCCGAACTGAGAATAAAAAGTTATTGCAGGCATGTATAGGGTCCAAACATAAGGTTGGGATTAAGTATTTTTTTAATTTAACTGTATGACCATAAAGAAAACACTTGTCTATTGTTGCTTTTAGTAGAAGTGTTTCATCAAGAAATTATTCTCGAAATGTGTCGTAAGACGCATTTATAAAGCAGGTTTTTAAAAAATGTCTTGACACATTAAAACGATAATTGCATATGGATACAAGAATACCTAATCACCGCTTGAACATTGACGTCAGTGTGCAAACAGTTAATTTTAATATTAAACTAAAAAATGAATATCTAGGTGGAGTTGAAAGAAAATGATTTGAATACATAATAATATATACGATACGCTAACGCGAAAATGAAGCCTTTTAGCTCTTTTTTTAGGTGGTGTGCAGCTATATCAACAACTTCATCAGCTGTATCCGTATGCGACATTTTGAGTTCTACAAATATAAAAACTGACAAATCTAATAAGCACACTGTAATACCAGTATAAATCTGATGCCAACTCTGTACTGTATATATATAGGTGAAAAATTAAAGCTATATATATATTATAATATATATATAAACTTAAGACGTGGTCATTGTCGTCTAGACCAGTTAGGTGAAAAATTAAAGCTTCCGCCTTTTGTTGGGTACTTCGACAAAATTTAAGCAAAGAGGACTCCTTATACTTTTTTAATTCGCTCTAGCTTTCA